CCCCAAAACCCCAAAACCCCAAAACCCCAAAACCCCAAAACCCCAAAACCCCTCACCTCTTAAAATAAATTGAAAGTTTAAATTTTAAATATTGCAAATGGAGTTCAGAGTTAGGAAAAAGAAAAGCTTGTATGACAACAAGGTAAGTCCACTGTATGACAATCTCATTCTATAAACATACTTAGTGACTTTTTAAGGGTTCCATAGAGTATCTTAAACATTTCCTGATATTTAAATTGGTACATGTATGTTATAGAGGCTAAATATGACGCAGTCAATTCACAATATTGGGAAAAGTTACACCAGGAATTTAGCTAAGAACACAATTGTTAATAAAAATACAAAGAACATCACAATACCGCATAATAACAGCGGGAGTTTTATAAATCTGAAAGAAAATAGGCCGCCTAATTGCAGATTAAAAAGAGTTTACTCAAAGCGGCAAACAAATTTTTCTGCCTCATGAAAGAATTCAGAGAGCAAAGTTTTCACATATAAAAGATTTGGTACGACCAAAAGAGATAGGTCTACTAACGGCAAAAGCAGTAAATATTAGCAAATAATTGATATTTAGAGGACCGAATCGAGAGAAAGAATTCAAACAAAAGAATCCTCAAGGCTAGACTAAAGCCTATGATTCGCTCTAAGGTTGCTAAAACTGCCCAAAGATTGTCAAGAAGGAGGAAGTCAACCAAAATCTTGAAGAATGAAGTCAAATTAGGCGGTTCTTTTATCACAACTATTGACAATACGAGCCAAATGAGGATTGCCAGGAAGTACAAAAAGCTACAGCCTTTGACTCTTAATGGGTCTAGTCAGATGATCACGAGTAGATCTATCAGAGCTCCAAGGTTATTAGGAACAAGGAGGTTCAAACTTTCTCTTGCTTCAAAATCTTGTAATAAATTCGCTAAATGACAGAAAAATTGGGACAGATTCACTAAGAAGATATTTATAAGAAGGAAGATTGGCAAATGATTATATCATTTAAAAGTACGAACATGATTGTTTAATTTACTTTTAGGTAAACATAAAGAAGATTAAAAAGGCATGTAACGTGATAGGAGAAGCCTTCATCAGATGGAAGCGGCTTAATAGTTCCCAGGATACTCTTCTGTTTAACCCAAATAACAATCTTCAGGAGTCAAATTCGAGTCTTAAAGTTCATGCTCTGACTGAGCTTGAAGACTACTTCAAGTAAGTCCCTTTTTGATAGCTTAGTGGTGTGTCAGAAGAGCTAGCTCTACTGCAGGCTGCCCAGGAACCAGCCCTGGCTGCAGAGCTGAACCTTGTAGAACAGATCAATCAGCAGAACGGTAGGATTTTTTAAGAAGATTTTAGAATATGATATGCTCAAGAAGTCGGTGAGAGAGAAGACTATGGAAGCCAAAGCTAAGTTTAATCAAAATTAAGTGGATGAGTATCATGGAAGTCAGTAGTCAGTACGAAGAATCAAACACATTCACAGTAGCGAGACAAAACAGGTACAGACATTATGTGAAGATAATCGAAGATGCCTGGGTTAAGTACAAGCAGTAAGTAAGCCAAGTAACTGTTTAGAAGGAAAGCTCAGAAGAAGTTTGTCAGATCTATCAGAGAAACCCAGGATCATCTTAACTGCACTATCGATGGGCTCGGTAGTGATTACGAGTAGGAAAAATGGCACTACTAAAGACAGATATCATCGTATTATACCGAGCGAGTTATTCCACAGATATATTTCCATCAGTGTAAATAATTTTGGGGTTTTGGGGTTTTGGGGTTTTGGGGTTTTGGGG